CGCTCACCCGCTGAGCACGGCGCTGGGGCTGGAGCCGGCCACGCTTGCTAATGGAGCCCTGGGGCCGTTAGGAGCATCAGAAACAAAACTGTCCCTCTGTCTCCGAGCCGTTAACCAGCTGCTCCCTGCCTGGTGAGGCCTGCTCCCTCCAGATCCTTGTGCTCTGCAGGCCACGGGGCTGCGACCCTCCTTCACCACCCCTCTTCTCCTGGTCTTGTAGGCACAGGGCCACGCTTGCTAATGGAGCCCTGGGGCCGTTAGGAGCATCAGAAACAAAACTGTCCCTCTGTCTCCGAGCCGTTAACCAGCTGCTCCCTGCCTGGTGAGGCCTGCTCCCTCCAGATCCTTGTGCTCTGCAGGCCACGGGGCTGCGACCCTCCTTCACCACCCCTCTTCTCCTGGTCTTGTAGGCACAGGACCCAGCCAAAAAAAACCCAAGCGCTCGCTGACGTGGCTCCCAGCTGAGAAGCAGGAGAACCCACGTTCCCCTTGCACTCCCAAGCCTAGGGGGGCCCAGGCTAGCAGGTGCTGTGTGCTCCAGTCCCGCAGTAGGCGAGGGTTCCTCAGTGCTAAGGGGGGGGGGCTGATCTTCTGAGCTGTTCTCTTCTCCCTGCCCCGCTCTGCGCTCCCTGGCTGCACCCTGCCTCTCCCCCCCTGCTGGCTCTGCGCTCCCTGGCTGCACCCCCCTCCCCGGGTCTGAGCTCCCTGGCTCCACCCTGCCATCACTCACTGCCGGACTTAAATGTATACTCCAAATTAAAAAACATAGTAGCAGGACTAAAAAAGAGCCACCGGGGCTTAATAACCATGTAAAAGAAGCAGTGAGAGAGAAACATCTTTTAAAAAGTGGAAGTCAGACCCTAGCGAGGTAAATAGAAAAGAGCACAAACACTGCCAGATGAAGTGTAAATATGTAATAAGAAAAGCAAAAAGGAGCATGAAGAACAGCCAGCCGCAAGCTCCAAAGGTAAGAACAAAATGTTTAAGTACATCAGAAGCAGGAAGCCAGATACGAAAGGACACTTGGGGTACGTCTAAACTACATGGCTGCCATGGAGATTTGTTGTTTTGGCAAAGGCAAATGAAGCCGCGATTTAAATGTAAACCTCTTATCCCATGGCCATGGAATTTACACAAGAGCCTTTGGTGAGGGACCTTGTCAAAGGCTTCCTGGAAATCCAAGTGCACCTCATCCCACGAGGAATAACGGGGCTGCCGACAAAGGGCTTTGATGTCGGCAGGGGAGCGTCCAGACTAGCACGCTGAGCAGACAAACCGCTGATCAGCTGTTTGTCGGCTCAGCGCGGCAGCCATGTAAATGTGGCTTCATTTGCCTTAAATCGCGGCTTCATTTGCCTTTGCCTATGTGTCTAATC